TTATATACTCTTATGGTTATTTCCTCAAAAAAATAGAATAAAGATTCGCTAGAGCTTCAGCGCTATGGATTTAAGAGAGGATTCAGAGATGTGTAAGTTAATACTGAAGAGAATAGTGGTACTAATGTATATAATCATATATTGAATTTAAGCAGATGGCACTGAGTATGGAAAATATGAATATGAATTTATCTTGAACTAACATAGGTATTAATTTCATTTCAATGGTTATAATTATTATTGTTGTTTATTTCTTTTATCTATTTTTGTTTATTTATTTATTATTACCTTTTTGGGGGGAGTCACCAGCCATGAAGGCGTTCAGTCTATTATCGAATCTCAGTAACCCCTAAGAATAACATGGTCATTGTAGTTATAAATTATTTATGTTCTACAAATCATGATTTAGGGAAAATGCTTCGAGAACACGCAATTCATAAGAAACATTATGAATAGGATTGTGCTTTTTGAAGACGTGTAATAATACCCAACCTTGGAAACATGATTAATTTGATAAAACTAGTATGTTATTTAATACTATAATTAACTAATATAATGATAACATGCCATCTATCATTGGTTCTAAATGACCAGTGAAACTAATACGATATTATAAAATACTTATAATAATTAAGTTTTAAGCTAACAGAGGTAGACATATAAATCTTTAACATATATATATGGATATGTTTAGCTCTATTGAAAAGTATATTTACGTATTTCTGTGCTAAAAGAAACGAAGAAAATGTATCAAATATTTTATTACTATATCCTTTATATGTACAATCAGGATACCCAAGCAAAGGGCGACCAGGTAATGGAGGAAAAGTCACAGTATTACATTAAGAATTATTATGAATGCAAAGAAGTATTAAGGTTATAATGATATTTAGACGACGTATAAAGAATGGTCTAAGTTTAACTGCTATAGTAAAACACCACGAGAAACTTAGACATGAGAGAAAAGATTTTGAAAAAATATATATATGAAGCAGTACATATATACAGCTGGACAGAATAGAATTTTCGAAAGTGTACAAAAAAGGTCTGAGTTTCTGAAAATGCACACGCTGACAAGATCAGCTTTTGAAATAATTGATTAAAGGAAGAGGGACAGACAAGATGATAAAGAGCTTGAATGCTCTCTTAATCCTTGATAGGAAACGGGTAAGGAGAGTAGTTCAGTATCTTATTGACAGATATACCTGATGATTATTTCTTGATAATTACAAATTACAAATCCCTTGAAATTTATTATTACAAAATGTAAAAATGCTTAAATATTCCATTACAGTATCCTTAATATGTACATTTAGGATAAATAGGACACACTCTGGAAGTATAGCTAATGGTAACCATATCCTCCATGGCCAAATCCATGACCAATTCCATGGCCGATCCCATGTCCGAATCCATGGCCGAACCCGTGACCTAACCCATGTCCAAAACCGTGTCCGTGTTCGATTATATGTACGCCGTGACCGTGTCCATATCCGTGGCCATGTCCGAATCCGTGACCAAGCCCGATTCCATGACCAAATCCGTGGCCGTGTCCAAATCCATGACCATGACCGTGGCCATGTCCAACATGGACGACTTCATGACTGACGGTGTGACCGTGGCCATGACCAATGCCGTGGCCGAAGCCATGACCTAATCCAAAGCCACCATGTCCAAATCCATGGCCACCATGCCCGAATCCATGGCCACCGAACCCATGGCCACCAAAACCATGACCGCCGAAGCCGTGGCCTCCAAAGCCATGGGCAAAGCCTGGCTCTGCCTTCGGGTCGGCCTTGGCTTCGGGTTCGGCTTTGGCTTCACGCTTGTAGATGCCGTGGCCATAGCCGTGTCCGAAACCGTGGCCAAATCCGATTCCATGCCCATGGCCAATCCCGTGGTGGTGCACAACACTGTGCCCATGTCCGTGTCCAATACCATGACCATGTCCGAAGCCAAACCCGTGTCCATGTCCGAAACCATGCCCAAAGCCATGTCCGTGACCGTGACCACCATGTACAACAGTCACTACTGTGTGTCCATGGCCATGGCCATGACCAAGTCCGTGCCCATGGCCATGACCAAACCCGTGCCCATGGCCAAAACCATGTCCATGACCAAAGCCAAAGCCTAAACCAAGGCCATGCCCGAGCCCATGTCCGTATCCTCCAGAAGGTTCCGCCTCGCGTTTCTGCTGCGCCGCCGCGACGGCAGCCAGCAGCAGCACGATCTGTGGGAGAGTGACATAGCTGTGACTTTCCGCTGTCGCAAGTGAGTGCTTCCAAGTTTTCACCTCAAGAGAACACTCCGCGAGCATGATCACAGCCCGTTGCATGAAAACAAAATTCACAAAAAAAAAAAAAAAAAAAAAAAAAAAAAATCTTTCAGTTCACATAATCTTTCACAAACTCTGTATTGATTCCACGTATATATGTAAACATCCTTGCATTTACGAAAGACAACTGTGCGATCGCTACTCACTGTAGTGGTCCTCATGGTTGCTTGAAGGCAGTGAGTATGTCCACCACTGACGAATTCTGCTGTCTATATACCTCGACAAAAATGTGCGACTCATTGTGTGCGTGCATATAAATTTTCATTCCGTGAGAATAGGATAAAAGTACTGATTCGAATAAATGTTAGTGTGATGAATTATGATTCTGGCAGTTCACCTTGATCGGCTTACATGTGAAGTGACGATTGAAACGCCAGTCTCCTTGGTGGTTTAAGAGAGATCAAGCATGGCAAGAGTACTTGTTATTTTATTACTTGTTCTTGGTTATGCATGTTAAGGCTTTACATGTGCGTGTGTGTGTGTGTGTGTGTATATATATATATATATGAAATATATATATACATACATATACATACATGTGTGTGTATTATATACATATATGTGTGTGTGTGTGTGCGTGTATATATAAACACAAAAACATTTCCTGTTTTCCTGTATATATATATATATATATATATATATATATATATATATATATATATATGACATATATGTATATATATATGTGTGTGTATATACATATATATGCATGTATTTATGTATTTAAATGTATTTTTGTATTTATACCTTGCTTGTTTATGTTAAACATTATGTGTATACACATTACAAGTACTATATTTCATATATATATATATATATATATATATATATATATATATATATATATATATATATATATATATATACATACATATATATATATATATATATATATATATATATATATATATATATATATATATATATACATACATATATATATATATAAATAAATAAATATATATATATATATATATATATATATATATATATGTATATGTATATATATATATATATATATATATATATATATATATATTTATATTTATATGGATGCCTATGTATATATATATATATATATATATATATATATATATATATATATAAGTGTGTGTGTGTGTGTGTGTGTGTGCGTGTGTGTGTGTGTTTATGTATGTATAGGAAGAAGACATAGAAATAGATTTATATATAATGTGTATATTTCCGCAAGGGTCGGCAAGAGGCTTACTTCAATGTTATAAAAGAACGGCAGTACCAAATTCTTCCTAATACCTTTGGTGCATCATGGAAAGCATTTTGATATATTTCTGAATACTATTCTATCTGAATTATCAACTGCAGCAAATTCATCATCCAAATTAACGGTCACAAGGGTTTTCGTTATTTGAAGTTTTTTTTATGTTAAAAAACAACATTGACCATTTTTTTCATTCTTGTTTTAGCAAAAATAAAATTCGAATCCAGAGTCCTAACTGTGATATAATACACTTATCCACGTGGCTGTTGACGAGGATGCTCTGTTGGGACGCCACTTTTATATTCTGCAAATACTTTGGAGTAGGATACTTCAAACTATTTTCATTGCGACCCTGTTTATTTTTGTACATTAAATTCACGATCTTGTATGTCCACTTCATTGTACTCTCTCTCATATTTATGACAACTTATGGATTATAATTATTATTAACATTATTATCATTATTATTATTATTTTGTGACGACCCACTGAACATTAGAGCAATATTTATCTGAAATTTTCAACACAAGTACATCTTAATGAAAAATACATACATTATAGGTACATTAAGTGTCCCTATATGTATATATATATATATATATATATATATATATATATATATATATATATATATATGTATGTATGTATATATATTAAAATTTACATATGACATCACTAGTCGTAGTTAAGCGTTTTTATATATCCAGTTAGGCTTGAATCTAACACCTCAAACGCGTTTTGCCAAAAGTGCGCTTATCATGATTCACCCGCCACCATTGTATTGGAGATAACCCAGCTCAAGAAATTAACATAAGAACCACACGGAGGTAAAAAATTATTTCCCTCTCTCACGCAGGGTATTTTTGTTGGATGTATGGCGATATTCATGAAAATTATGATTAAACAGTATCATCGTTGCATATATTGGTAACAAAAGTAATCTTATTTCTAAGTTTCTATTGATGTACTGCCTAATAACTTATATGCCAAAGATTCACCAACAGTACCATCAAACACTAATAGCACACTAATACACTAATAATCTGAAATGATAAAAAAGGATAATTATGATAACATAAATATTGATGGTAATTATGAGTTTATATGCTTGACGAATAAAAACAGTCGATGTTGAGAGCTCAGAATTATTAAATTGCTTAAAATCCATATATTTCGATAGAAGTATTTACTATATGCACTCTCTTTAAAGTATGTCATCTTGCATTACATCCTAACCATTCATTTTGATAGCGATGTTACAGTTGCCAGATATATGCGAACTATATGCGCCACAATAATCTGTTGTATTCTAAATAATATAAAGAATCTTGAGTTTACCCTCAAAGTGCGGCTTCATATGTTTTTTTTTTTTTTTATATTCACTGTTGCAATTCTGTTTTTTCTTGAAAAATGTATTAAGCTATTTTT